GATCTTATTAAGTCCTGGCACTTCTGCTACACAAACCCTATCTCTGAACCTCATCACATCAATCTCGTTGATTCAGAAATCACCAATTTTGCCTTGATTAACTAGCACTAACTGATCAACCAATTCTAAGTCGATCTTATGAACTTCTCTAATATATTCCAGAATACCATTAGTTAGATTTAATATGCCCAACTTCACACTATTATGAGTTATATACACCCGACTAAGGTCTTTAAATTCCTCAATCAAATCCCATTCTCGAACCATAAGCATCGACATATGCAATGACTTCTTACTCAAGGCTTTAACTACGAAATTTATTTTACGAGGATGATAATTCAAATCAAATCTCAACTCGAGCCACCTTATCTGCCTCATGTTAAATTCTTTTTTATCGAACAAATACTTCAAACTTTTGTGATCACTAAATACTTCAAATCTAGAACCAAATAGTTAATGCCTCCAAATCTTAAGTACAAACAAAACGACTGCTAATTCCAATAGGATAATTCCTTTCATGAACCTTTAATTGTCTCGAAGCATAAGCCAGAACCTAACCATTCTACATCAGCACACCACTTAGACCCATCTTTGAAGCATCACTATAAACAATAGAGGATTCACTTGGACTTGGAAAAATCAAAGTTGGAAGAGTCGTCAGCTTCTTCTGGAGCTCTATAAAACTCTATTCACAAAGGGCATCCCTCATATAAGCTTGACTATTTTGAGTCAACTGAGTCAAAGGCATCGCCAACTTCGAAAAGCCTTCGATAAACCTTATGTAATAACCAACCAAACCCATAAGACTTCTGATATTGTTAACAGACTTCAGAGTTTTCCATTGCAATACAACGTCAATCTTCAATAGATCAACGACAATACCACCACTAGAAATTACATGACCGAGAATAACACCTACTTGACTTATAATCATGGTCGCTCGACCGTGGTAGAAAGCATCATACATACAACCTCACCTTACCTCACAACGGTTGGTCAGGCGTTATGGTATCTTTTTTCCAACTGTTGTGATATGGCTTTTATGTATTAGTGAATCCATTTTCAGATGTAATTTTAAACCACTTGCTCTATCATTTTCAACAACTTCTAGATCTAATTTTAAACCCATTTTCAACCACGGTGATGTTAGTGATCATGGGTGTACGGTGATGGTGTATTCGACAACAAGATATGTGCGCGTCAGCGAAAAGAGTGTGGAGTAGATTTTGCTAGTGCGGTACACGTGGAGGTGCGCCAAAATAGGGAGCCGCACACTGGGGTGATTCAACCAAAGGAGTGAGTGGCACCAACTGTATTTCTCCTCCTCCATTTCATATTTTCTTTATCGCATTGTTGTTTATTTTTGAAGAAATTGTTGTTGTTGTGAAAGAACACACACAACACTGTTTGTAGCTTGTGGTTTCTCTCTTATGAATTTTTCTCCTCTCTTTTTTTGTTTCTACTTCGTTATATCATGATTTGTTGCTCTTTATGTTGCTTTCTTGCTTTTTGAAAACATCTTAGCGACATATTTTTCACGTCACAACGTATTTTTTCACAAATTTCAAGATTCCCCGTATGAAACCCTGATTTCTTTTTTAAAATGGTTAACGACATAATTTTCATGTGATAACGTCCCTTTTTAGCGACGAGATTTTAACGTGACAATATCATGTCATTGGATACCTGATTTCTTATAGTGTACAAACTTAAATGTCGAAGTGATAACATTACATGTCAGTCTCTCTCCACCTCATCGAAAACTCATTTCACCATAGTAAGCATTACTTCATCAACTACCGAACAATTTTGGTTCCACCACAAAATCAAATCAAATTGTTTAAGTTTAAAAAAATAATGAGATTTGTGATATACAACCATAATATTTTCACGTCTTACATGTTTAAGGTTAAAATTTAACATAATGAATTAATTTGTGTGACAAATCTATATTTAAAGAACCAAGACTTTTATTAAATCAGGGATCAACATAAAACAAAGAATTAAGCCTAAAAACTCCAAATCTAATTAAATCTATATATTCTTTTTTATTTTGGTCTAGTATTCTTTCTAAACGGTTGCATTAAAATTGACTTGCATTATTAATTAGTGTATTAAGGTTTTGTTCGATAAGATACAATTTTTAATTTATAATTTATTGTTTATAAATTTATATGATAATTTAGACTTATTTGATAACGATTTTTTCATCATAAATTTATAGTTTATTTTAATAGTTTATAATTTATTTTTCAGAAAGTATTTCAAAAAGCGTTTTAATTTATAGTTATAATTTATCATTTCTTTCTTTCTTTTTTAGACTTATCATCTTACGTTTATCAAATAGTTTAATTAGTTTATCATCTATCAATCTCAATCATTAACTCTAAATTATAAACTATCAACTATCAATTAACAATCTATAAACTATCAACTAACTTATCATTCAATCATTATTTTTATCGAAAGATCATAATTCTATTAAACTTCTACCCGTGGCACCATTTCGTAATATTTTAACACACACTAGTTATAACATGATGTACCTCTCAACTACTGAAAAAATTGTTGTCTAATCCAACAACACACATTTACAAGTACAAGTTCATTTTTTTTTCTCAAAAAGAAAAACCTTGAATATTTGGTGTCTTCTTTCGAGAGGTAGTAAAACTCCAAACACTGAAAACCTATAGTAGAATAGAAGGGAACAGTGAGTGATTTTAAGAGGCGCCGTCAACCAATTACAAGCAAACCTTGAGTGTCACAACACAAACACAACAACACATCAAAACAAACCTGTTTCCTTTTTATAAATTTTATACTATAATACTGTTTTTCATTGTATAATAATACTATAATATGTAACCTTAACTCATATTATAATATATCAATATCAATGCCACCAAAATCATCGTACAACACCATGCTATGTCAAGACTAGACCATCAACCAACTCTAACACTTTGAACCAATCACAACTAGACAACGTTTGGTACTGAAACGTTTTTGACCAATGAGAACTAGACAACGTTTGTACTCTTCTAATCCTAGTTTCTTGGTCGTTTTATCTCTTCCGTTCGTTTCAAAGTTATTCCCACTTTATTGTCCTAGAGTAACCACTATCCTCTCTCTTTCTCTCTCTTAATATCAACTCAACACAACACATATTTGTATAGATTTTTTCTTTTTCGTTTTTCATTAATGATAAGGAAAATTTTCTTACAGCTCACTCTAACGTATAGTAAAATAGTTAGAGATTTGATAATATATTAAAGGTTAAATGTGAAAAAAATTAGAATTAAATTTATATTTTATCAACAAAATTATGATAAATATGAAAAATATATAATAATTGGCTTTTCTAAAATATTACTCTGTCATATTTAATTGTAGAAATGTAAAATTAAATATAAGACTTTGTTGAATAAATCATATGAATTAAAAAATTGATTTTATTTATTTTTTAATCATTAATATATTTTTCAATTTAGCATGTTATTAATATATTATTTTTATCATAGTACTTATTATTAATTATAGAAAAATTAGTAAAATAAATAGAGTATTCTGTGAGTAAATAATTAATATAATTTAAAATTTTAAAAAATATTTTTAAAAGATAGATTTTTTTCAAGAGAATAATATGTATTAAAAAATTTAATTGTATTTAATTTTTTAATCATTAGTATTTTTTTAATTTACCTTTTTATTAATATGTTATTTTAATTATTATTGATTTAAAAACTAGTAAAATAATTAGAGTATTTAGTGAATAAATAACTAATGTAATTGAAAATTAAAAAAAAATACTTTAAATTTTTTTCAAGAGAATCATAAATTAAGTGTCCCATGTAGTAAATAATCTCTAAGCTATTTTCAATTTATATAAATAAAAAAGAGTGTTGAAAAAAGTTGTAAATGTGAGTAGCGTGGGAAAGTTCCACATTGATTAAATATGTGGAGACTTGATCATTTATAAATGAGAGAACTCATTCATCTATTATCTTAAAATTTTGAATGAATATATAATATGTCTCTTACAAAAATATGTTACTTAAAAAGAAAATCTCCAAAGTTAAAAATTCTCCTTATTTAATCTTCCTAATTGCGCCAACAAAGAGAATAATACTTTTACGTTATATAAATTTTGAATAATTCAAGGATTATATAAGTTTTGCAGTAGCTTTTTTTTTTAATCTTTTGGTATTACTCTTTATTTAAATTATTTTATTTACATTTTATTATTTTCCTTCAATGAAATAAAATACTAATTATTTTTACTACTTATTTCAAATACAAATTTTAATAAATTTATTCTTCACTCAAATTAATTCATTTACCATTTTAGTGTTTTTTAACAATTAAATAGTTGATTTTTTAAATGATAAATATAAACTCTAGTAAGAGATAATGATAAAATAATAATTATCAATAAAATATAAATCAAATTTGATACTCCATACCAAAGTTTAAATAAGTGTTGTTCGCGTAAAGATTTGTATGATTTTAGTTGGTATAAATGTTGTGGCTCCAGATACAATTGCCGTGTTGTAAATTAAATACAAGTTATTCTTTATCATAAAACTTGTGAATAACAAGTATTTTGATACCGATTTACCACAGTCATTTTCGCAATTTGTAATATACCATAATAATATAATTATACCTATACTAAATTTGAATACTAGTAAAAATAGAAAGGTCTCCATCCTATACGCTATTAATTATATACCATCCAATATTTGATCTCAAACTCTTCAATTTCCTTCAGGTGAGCAATACTATATACTCTCTATCTACTCTTCCTAGGGTTTCCTTCTTTATCCATCTTTCTTTATAAGTAACCCCTTGTCTTACTTTTTTTAGCCTATATATTTCTCTCTTTGCTTATTTCAATTTCATTATTCCTTCTTTCTCATCAGAACTAGATCAAGAATTTCTTCAAGCTAGGTTAAAAATATAAACAAATTTTCATCTTCGTCTTCATCTTCATCGTCGTCATGGGAAGAGGTAGGGTTCAACTCAAACGGATCGAGAACAAAACAAGTCAACAAGTAACATTTTTCAAAAGAAGAACTGGACTTCTCAAGAAAGCTAATGAAATTTCTGTTCTTTGTGATGCTCAAGTTGCTTTGATTATGTTCTCTACCAAAGGAAAACTTTTTGAGTATTCCTCAGCACCAAGGTTAGTATAACATCAATATAAATATTTATAGTTATCATTTTCTATATACATGTGTTTTAGAAGAATTTAAATGGTGTAAATAAGGTGCAATAGTCTATATATTTCTATATGAATTTTGTTGTTTTTGGATCCTTTTTTTTATAAACTATATATAAGATTTTAATTAATATAGATAATTTTTTTGTTTATGGTGTAAATAAGGTGCAACGATCTATATATTTATATATGATTTTGGTTGATTTGGATCCATTTTTTTATAAACAATAAGATTTAATTAATTAATATAGATAAATAATTTTTTTGTTTAAGATCATTAGGTTTTTTTTTTATATATGTTGGAGAGTTTTATGATATTCTTTACCTAATGAAAATATAGAACTATGTTATGTTGAAAATTTAAATTTGGCAAGTATACTAGTCATGAATGATGATGAGTACTTGAAGTTGCTGTTTGAATGTACTTTCTTCTCTATTTTAGGGTCTGGTCACATAATCGTGTATAACAATCCAACCCTTTTTTTCTTCTATCAATTAAAAGCCATACTTCTGGAAGATATCTTTGTTACTTTTGTACAATTTTTATCATTCATAGATATGACAATGCATATTATTCAACTTCACTGTAATATATAGTGTCAAATTCAATTCAAGATGTATGAATACGTGTCTCTTGTTGAGGAGAAAGAGTTTTTTTTTCCCTCTTTTAATATAGTAGTTTATATAACTACATGCATTGTGTTTGAAGAACATCATTTTTAAACAAGGGTTTGATAGATCAACTAGTTTGAAGTTATATGCTTCAAATTTAAACTCTAATGATTGAGAACATACTAATGTTGATTATTTAAAAAGAGAATTTTATAGCTATGAGCTAAATGATCAAAGTTCTTACTTTGATCAAAGAGTAAATACTAATAAACAATTAATATACCAACATTTTTAAAGACAAAATAGAAGATAGGTGGATAAAATAAAACCTTATCTTGATCTTGGTTTTCTAAATAGGAAACATAAAGTTTTTAAATCTTTGTAAATTGGTGTTTCTAATATTACTTCATCCATTTTAAAATTTAATATAAATGTTGTTTTAATAAATAAAATTTATTTAGAACGAACATATATTTATGTTATAAATAATTATTATTTTTAATTATATTCATCAATTATTACATTGTACATTACTTTCAACACATTGATAAAATTAATTTAATAATATTAAGTGTTATCTTTTGAGAACTTTATTTTATTTTTTAATCAATATGCAAAAACTTTAAACCACGTTTTCATTTTAAATCAGAGAATATTGTTTTTTTTTAGAGGTTTATATTAATGTTTGCAGATTTGTTAACATGTCATAATGATCTCTCAATATATTGAAATACCCTGTATAAATAAATTGTTTGCAGAGTGCCTAACACTAATATATTTTTCCTTTTTCAAGGAGAAAGTACCCTATTATATATCTATTATTTATGTTGCTTATTAATAAAAACTAGTCACTTAGTTTTTTTGTATAAATATATAAAATTAATCAAATTTTTGGATAATATAAAAATTAATTAAACAGCTGTGTATATATAAGTCTCTTACCCTAGAGCTATATAACCTAATCTAGGTTTTTATAATAACCTAGATATACACCACCGTGAGTAAGAATCTATTTATAACCTAAGTAAAGCTATACATATATACAAAAATATATTCCCAAGTTTATATATTTTATATACATAAATAATAAAAAAACTGTTGGAAAGATAATGTGCTGTATAAAAAATATATATTTTTCTGAATCATATACTAGTATAGTACAAAAGTAGTATAGTCAGAGGAAAAACTGGAGTAAAAGGCTTTCAGGGTTCCTGGTTCTTATAGAAAAAGAAGAAATAGAACATAGACATGTGGATTAAGAGATTTTCTGTTTCAACAAAAATGGCATATTTCTTTCATATAATATTTAAAAATGTCATATTCTTTGATATAATATCCATATAGTATTATTTCATTGTTTGTTTTAAAACTTTTTTATTTGAAAAGGCAAATATATAAACTTGCATTTATTCAAGTTGAATGATAATAAGAATAAGTTCTTTATGGATAATTTTAGTAGCAAGATAATGGCATATGTTCTTGGCAAAAATCTTTTAATCTATTATATTGTTTTGTATATGGATTACAATAAATCTTACACTTTCTATCTATTAAGATTATCTCTAGCCAACATGAATTATTATTTGTTTTTTCATATAAATGTTGCATGTGTTGGATTTTTGGTGCTAAGGTTCAATAGCATAGATAAAATTATAGAGATCAAACTAAGATAAAACAAATTTTAAAGGACTAAAATAAAAAATATTGGGGACAAATATATTAATTAAAGCCATGTTAATTTTACTATTTCTATATTATAATTTTTTTTGTTAGAGTGTAATGTTGAGTAAAAAAATGTAGAATAAGCATGCTTTTACAATCAAATAGTCCTTTATTATTTTTATACATTAGCATTAATATTTTTTGTATATTTTTCTGAATGCATGTAATATAGTTTTAGTGTTTGATATTTATTTTTTTTACTTGTATGAAACAGCATGGAAGATATTTTGGAAAAATATGAGAGACAAAATCATTCAGAGCTTAATGGAGCTGCAACCAATGAGACACAGGTAAAGTATTTCATTGAAACATAAAATTTATATTGAAATATTACAAAGAGAAACCATCTATGAACATGCTTGAACTATAACATGAAAGTGAATATATATGAATAATTATTGTTTCAATGTAAAGCACATTATAGTGATTGAGATCATTTTATTATAGGGAAATTGGACTTTTGAATACATGAAGCTGACTGCTAAAGTTCAAGTCTTGGAGAGGAACTTAAGGTATTTTTTAGGTTTTACTATAGTAATAATAATTATAATTATGATATCAATTACTTCTAGATTCTGAGAATTTTGGAAACTTACTTCATGTTATGGACACATGCAAGGCGCGACGGCTATAGAGTATCGGAATTATTCCATTTGCATTTGATTTCTCTATTGCACTACGCAACAGAATGCAGGACAGTTGGTTCTAAACACAGTTGGTTTTGGATTTAGATTTAAATGTCCTGCAATCTGTTGCGTGTTGCAATTGATATAGGGTTTCAAACTTAACATACTAAAAATTAATTTGAAAAACTTCTGCTCTCTTTAATATAGGAACTTTGTGGGACATGATCTGGATCCTTTGAGTGTGAAAGAGCTTCAGAGCTTGGAGCAACAGCTCGACACATCGCTAAAGCGCATCCGGACAAGAAAGGTGAAGAGAATAAGCATTACTACATATAATAACATTTGGTTTAATTTTCAGCTTATCTTCACAGTTAATAGATTAATATGATTTTCTGCAGAACCAAGTTATGAATCAATCCATCTCCGAGCTGCATAAAAGGGCAAGGGCATTGCAGGAACAAAACAGCAAGTTAGCAAAGGTAGAAGCTAGCTATATTTCTCTAGTAACATTTTTCCATGAGCTAATTAAACCTTATAAGAAGAATGGTATAAAAAAAAGTACTAATGTTTTGTTACATTTATGATTTTAATGGTTAGACAAAGGAGAAAGAGAAGATAGTGAATGAACATCCACGGAGATGCATTGAAACCAATGCCATAGGGCAATGTTCATCCACTCTCAACTTAGGTTTTCAACCACAGGCTCTACCTCCACAAAGATTGGTTCCTTCTCTATCTCTCAGGTATTTCTACTCTCTCAGTTACATATACATGTACATAAATGATATACTAGACACGACACAATACATGACTTAGATAACAATACACATAAATAAATGTACGCATAAGAAACATAGATACATGGGACACGACACATGACACTGACATATATAGATAAATGTATGCATATAAAACTTAAAAAAGGAAAGTGATAAAATATAACGTGTTGGTGACGTGTCATACATCATACACATTTTCAATCTAGAGATGTTGATGCTTAGTAAGTATATATGTGGCAAATCTTGTAGAGACAAGGTTGGCTAGTTATGTATATTGTTGTTTAATGATAATAAAAATGTATGAAAATGCAGTGGAGCTATACAAGCAAGAGGGTCAATGGAATTTGAAGAAACAGGTGAAGCTCAAACTGTTCCTAACAACAACAATAATAGTCTTATTCCAGCATGGATGCTACAACATCTTACCAACTAGATTGATATTTGTATCTACTTATGTATATGTCTGTGACAGACATATATATTATATTAAATATGTATGATCATTATGTAAGTAAGCCTTATTAAGGTATCAACAATATCAGAATTTCATATTCTGTTCAAACTTGTTCTAGTATATATATTGGCTTTGCCCAACCTTCATATTTCAAATCTATGAGAATGCAGTCTTTGATATATTATATGAGAGCTTGTTGATTTTAAGCAGTTTCATAACATTGGATGTGTGTCATTAATGTATTTTTTGAGAAGATCTTAGGAGTGTTAAATTGTAATTCATATGTGTCAAAAGAAGATTTGATTTGTTTAGATTTAAATAGATTTGATTTGTTTAGATTTAAATAGATTTGAATTTAAATCTAGATTAGATTTGATTTAGTAAAGAGATATTTTTGGGCTTGGGTTTAGCTTAGGGAGCAAGCTAACCTAAATCTATAAATAGAGGGAGTAACCCCTATTTTGTAATCAAGTCATTCACAGTATTTTGCAGTTGCAAAGTGAATTAATAAAGATTCCACAGTTTGTGGGCAGAATAGAAATTCTGCAGAAATATCTTCATTGTTCTTTTATTTGTTTGTCATAACTAATCATCAGTGGTGGTCGAAATTCATCATTGAGTATTGGTGGATTTCCAACATCTGGTATCAAGAGCTTTTGTTACGATTCAAGGGAAGTGTCAATCAAGAACGATTGAAGAATTCACGATGACAAGTTATGGGAATGCAAACTATCCAGCAACGCTGCCAATTCTGAAAGTCGACAACTATGAGAATTGGTGCAAGCAGATGAAAGTCCTATTAAGGTGTCAAGGCCTTTGGGACCTTGTAAAAGATGGAGTCGAAGCGCTTGGCGAAAACGCTTCAGAAGAAGAAAAGAAGAAATATACAGAATCTGAGAAGCAGAGTTATAAAGCATTGTTTATAATTCATCAATGTGTCAGCCCAGACAATTTCGAAAAGATTAGTGATTCAGAATCTGCAAAAGAAGCTTGGGAGATCCTGGAGAAATCTTTTGGAGGCGCTGAGAAGGTGAAAGAAGTGAGGTTACAAACTCACAAAAGAACCTATGAACTGCTTCAGATGGAAGACAGTGAAAACATATATGATTTCTTCACTAGAGTTACAAAACTAGTGAATCAAATCAAGACATGTGGAGAAACATTAACAACAAGAGCTGTTGTTTCGAAGATCCTGAGATCCTTAGCTCCTAAGTTCGACCACATAGTGGTGGCGATCGAAGAAGGGAAAGACTTGTCGAAATTGACAAAGGAAGAGCTTCAAGGGACGCTCGAATCTCATGAACAAAGAATGAACGAAAGAGCTGCAGAAAAATCGAAGAGTGATGTAGCCTTGCAGGCACATTCAGCAAAAGAAACCAAAGGCAAAGGAAAGTATTTCGACAGAAGTAGAGGTGGCTACAATAAATCGAATGGTAGAGGAAACCAAATCGAAGGAGACGCGTCGAATCAAAGAAGACCACGCCACGGCAACCAAAGAGGTGGTGCTGCAAACAGAGGAAGAGGTGGTGGTCGAAAACCTGATAAGAGTCACATTCAATGTTACAATTGTCAGAAGTATGGTCACTATTCAAGTGATTGTCCAGAAAAACGAAAGAATCAAGAAAGTGATGCAAAGCTTGCAAAACATGAAGAAGAAGAGGAGATTATGCTAATGGTCACAACAAGAGATGAAGATAGATTCAAGGACCAATGGTACTTGGATTCAGGATGTTCATCACATATGTCTGGAAGGAAAGACTGGTTCATCAATATAAAACCCTCAACGAAAAATTTGGTAAAATTTGCAAATGACAACACCTTAGCAGCTGAAGGTATTGGTGATGTTATGATCATGAGGAAAGATGGCAAGAAGTCAGTAATTTCGAATGTATTGTACATACCAGGCATGAAGAGCAATTTGCTCAGTATAGGGCAGTTGGTCGAAAAGAATTATAAAGTGTCAATCGAAGATAAGTTGATGAGAGTTGTTGATGCAAATGGAAGGGTAATCTTGAAGGCTCTTATGTCTCAGAATCGAACCTTCAAGATTGAACTAAATATGATGGAGCACAAGTGCCTTTCGACTGCAGCTAGCAGATGAAATTCTGGTGTATGCCAGTCTTCAGATGTTATACTCAATGTCTAGACATCTGATATGACATAATAAATACACTGCAAGGTAGATACCCAATTTTTCGTGATTCCGTACTAAAGTATAACAGAAGCACAGTTTTATTCAAGCTGCACCAGATAAACTTTGAAGGTGCAGAGGATAGAACACACGATGTACCTAGTTCTGTTCATCTGGTACACATGATCAGCAGAGAGCAAACAACCTTCACAGTTCTGTTTCTCCTGCACAGATATCAGCATGATGTCTTAACATGTTCTGAGACATCATCTGTTACAACATTACAGTTTTACCTTGATATATACCAGACAGAATTATAAAGTGTTGAAGGTAAAAACACAATCAATTGTTGACCCAGTTCAGTGAAACACACCTACTCTGGGGGCATACCAAGCCAGGAAGAAGATCCACTATCAGCAATATTAATTCAGGACTAAACTTCACAAGTTCCCATCCCTCACTTAATCATTTACCCAGTGCAACCTATACTAGGAACTCCTAGATAGAAACCTACTAGTTTCCATTCCTATTGCCGCAACAACAGAAGTCTTACTCCTACTCAAGAAGTAGTGCCCTCCCACTTGGTTTCCTTCATTACAATGAATATGAAGTAATGCAAACATACTTAGACTTGCTTCACATCTTCGTCCAAGAACACTTAAACTCTTACCTACAGGTATCGAGTTACACACATGGTAACCTTGCCACAGACCGACAGGTTTACCTATCAGAACACCCCCAATGTTACATTATGTGAGGCTTACAAATCCTAGGTTACAATCTGCTATTTATAACCTATTACCCAACTGGATTTGGGCCTTCAAAATCGCAGCAAGCTTTTCTCCTTGCTGTTACAAATCAGCAACAAACTTCTGCTACAATCAAGGTCTTCAATCTTCTAGTTCCTAAAATATCTCCATATTTAGAAACAATATTTTCTTCAAATATTCTGATTGATTCTTGATTGATCTTCAGATTCTCCATAAGAAACGCCACATATATTCTCAGAATATTTAAGTACCAGAACTGTAACTGAATTACCAATTTCGTTGGCGTGATGTCAAGTCAGATGTCATGACATTACATCTAACATGTTGTCCCAGATGTTGAACTTCTTCAACACAACATGTTTAGGAGAACCACGCACATTTGCTGATACAACAAATAACCTCTTTCATAAATTAGATCACTTAAAACAATTAGGTTACAAGTCACAGCTGTTACAACCATTCAACATATAACATAGTTAACTAATATTTCAGGCGCGATGTCATATGCTGATGTTGTGACATCTTACATAACATGTTGGTCCAGATGTTGAACTTCTTCAACCCAACATATTAAAACAACAGAGGGAATATGGGTAAACTTACTTTCTTATTTGTTTTACAAATGAAGCCAACTCTCCAGCCAGGGCACTTACAGCAGAGATGAATGGATATGGCATTATAGACTAGGTCATCTCAACTTCAGAGACATCAGAGATTTGAAGAGAAGAAATATGGTTTCAGGATTGCCTGAAATTGATATTCCAAACGAAGTATGTGAAGAATGTGTGCAGGCGAAGCAACACAAGAATAGCTTCAGCAAGGATGCAGGAAGCAGATCGAAGGCTAGTCTCGAAATCATATACTCTGATGTATGTGGACCAATCCAGGTGGATTCGATGGGAGGTAACAAATACTTTGTTACATTCATAGATGATTTCAGTCGAAAGCTATGGACTTACCTGATCAAGCAGAAAAGTGAAGTGATTGAAGTATTTACCAAGTTCAAGTCCATGGTCGAAAGACAAAGCGGTCGAAAGCTTAAAGTTTTGAGAACTGATGGTGGAGGAGAATATGTGTCGAAAGACTTCGACAGATTATGTGAAAAAGAAGGGATTTTGCATGAGGTGGTGCCACCCTATACTCCACAGCAAAATGGAATTGCAGAAAGGAAAAATCGAACCATCATGAATATGGTGAGAAGTATGTTGAAAGGCAAGAATTTACCCAAAGAGTTCTGGGGTGAAGCTGTTTCGACTGCAACATACATTTTGAACATAAGTCCTACAAAGAAGCTAGAAGGAATTACTCCAGAAGAATGTTGGTCTGGTGTGAAGCCTAGCCTAAGTCATCTGAAAGTATTTGGATCTATTGCACATAGACATGTGCCAGATCAGTTGAGAAAGAAACTTGATGACAAGTCAAGTCAAATGATCCTAGTTGGATATCATTCGACAGGAGGCTACAAGTTGTTCGATCCAGAGAACAAGAAGATTGTGATCAGCAGGGACGTGATCATAGATGAGTTCAAAGAATGGGATTGGACTGCAAATGTCAAGAAAGATTCAGTGGGAATCTTATTCGAAGAGCCAGAAACTCAAGTCGAAAGAGAAGTTCGACAAGAGGAGCCAGCAGATATACCCAGTACAAGCAGACCTCAAAGAACAAGACGCATGCCTGCAAGATTGCAAGATTGTGTGATTACATCAGATGATGCGATAGATGATGAAGGTGATCTAGTACATTATGCTTTCTATGCAGATGTCGAACCTGTTAATGCAGCTGAAGCATTAAAAGATTCGAAGTGGGTGAAAGCAATGAACGAAGAAGTAAAGTCTACCGAAGACAACAACACTTGGTCACTTGTCGAATTGCATCAAGGCAAGAAGGCAATTGATGTCAAGTGGGTATACAAAGTGAAGACTAATTCGAAAGGTGAAGTAACTCGACACAAAGCAAGACTTGTGGCGAAAGGATTTCTACAGAAAGAAGGAATAGACTTCGACGAAGTTTTTGCACCTGTTGCTAGGATCAAAACAATCAGGTTGGTTGTTGGTCTAGCAGAAATCAACAGTTGGCAC